AGCAGGGGTGGGGTGGGGTGACCTGACAAAGCCTGATAAAATCAATCAATATGGTATTCTTGCCAGAAATCCTGCAGAAAATCAACATAAAATCGGCATCACCAGGGAGGACTGACGCCCGTATGTATTTTACTGGTGAATAACCTCGGGCACAGAGAGGCTGAGTCACTTGTCGAAGGGCACCCAGCTACCTGGGTCGTCTGACTTCAGAGTTCTGCTCTGAGCCATGGCACCATCTTATCTCTCCAACTCCCCTCCACCACCGTCTCGGGGTGAAGTGAGTAGCGCCCAAGCTGGCTTCTTCCCTCCAGGACCTGCCTTCACAGGGACCCACCGCAAGGTCCTGGGAGCCACCTGAGAGTTGTTTTCCAGGTGTCAAGGAGCTTAGCACGCAATCCCGGTGGAACTAGTGTGCTTGCTACATGGGACACCTCCCAGCCACACAGAGACGCTTCACCGCCAGAGGGTCTGCAGCTAAGGACTGGTCATAGTTGTCACAGTGTGGGGTTAGGGGTGTGCGGAGAGATGATACAGCAGATAAGACACTTGCCTTGCACAAGCAGCTGATCTGGGTTCGGTTCCCAGAGCACCGCCAAGGGTGATTCTTGAGCACAGAGTCAAGAGTAAGCCCGGAGCACTGCTGGGTGTGACCCCCAAACCAAAACTAAATAAACAATTGTGGTAGGACACGGAGGCGTCCTTCGTGTGTTCGGCTTCCTTTGCTGGGCTAGGGCAGGGACTCTTTTTTTTTTTCTCTTTCTTTTTTTTCATTAGTGCACTCGGGGTCAAGACTTCCTGACAGGGCCAAAGAGCAGGGGTTAAGGAACTTGCCTTGCATGCAGCCAACCTGAGCACTGCAGCAGGTCACTCCAGAACATTGCTGGGTGTGGTACCCCTGAATCCCCTCGAAAACAAGTCTTGCAGACAGCCATTTTCCAAGCAGGCATATAAGCATTCTTGTGATCTAACTCTGCATTGTATTTATATTTATTTAAATTTCATTTCCACAAGACCATTTCTTCTTTGTAGCATCGTGCTTTACGACTTCAGGGGCTGGAGCCAGGATAGCAGGTAGGATGTTTGCCTTGTATGTGATGGTCAATCCCGGGCACCCCATCTGGGTGACCATCTGCTCTGAGTTCTGCCAGAAGTGATTCCTGAGTGCAAAGCCAGGAGAAAGCCCTGAGCACAGCTGAGTGTGAGCCCCACCACCACCCAAAAATGACTTCCTCAGATGTTAAAATTGGCAACTAATCTTTGTCTATGTGTCTTCTTTGGTTTTTAATAAATCTCCATGCACTGATGTTAGAATTCTGGTCATATGGAGTCTTAATTCCTTCCTAAATAATTTAAACTGTCCTATTTCAGTAGATCCACACATGAATTATAAGTTTGAATAATTCCAATGATAAAGAGCCTTATGAATCTTATGAAATTTAAATGGCCTGATTAAAGCATTTAATTTCTTTTCTTTCCCTCCACTTCTCTCTTTCCTGAGTGCTATATAGACTTGACATAGTTTTAATGTTATCTTTTTTTTCAGTTTTTGGGTCACACACAGCAATGCTCAGGGGTCACTCCTGGCTCTGTGCTCAGGAATCACTCCTGGTGGTACTTGGAGGACCATATGGGATGCTGGGGATTGAACCCAGGTCAGCTGCATACAAAGCAAATGACCTCCCCACTGTGCTATCGCTCCGGCCCTGGTTCAAAAGCTTTATGTCTTTGAATGTGTTCTGGAAATCATCGTTATTTTTATTTATTTAATAAGGGCTTTTTTTTTTGGGTCACACTCACCTGTGCTCAGGGCTTACTTGTGACTGTGCTCAGGGATCAGGCGACCATATGGGGTGCTGGAGACTGGTTGTAATGCAACATACCTGCTGTGCGATAGTTCTAGCTCCTCATGATTATTTTAAAATACCCCCAAATTAAAATCTCATTAGGATCGGAATCCACTTGATCACAATATTGTTTTTTGTATTTGTATTAAAGAAAGGGGAGAACCACTAGAGTATTTAAATATAGTGATAAGGTTTGCTCTGCTCTTCAAGCCAGTTTTCTCTGTGCTTAGGGATCACTCACACCAGGGCTTGAGCCAAGGTCTGCCACATGCAAGTCAAAAGTCCCGACCGCCAAACTCCCTCTCCTGCCACTGTGTGAATCTTTTTAATTCAAAAAACCTCACATGAAATAGTTGTGCTCTGGACCCAGGGGACGGCTCCTTTCTCTCAGCAAACGGTGAAATTTCCCCACGACTCAGTCTGAAGCCCCATCCGGCTTTGCCCTCCCCGTACAATTCCAGTGATTCATGCATGTGCCGTGACTGGATACAAGGTTTCAAAAAATTTGGAACGCTGTATTATTCAGGAGGAAAAAGCAGTGCACAGGATTTGCATAACACTACTATGTTGGTCAAACAACAAAACCCCTAGAAAAACAAAATGAAAAAAACACATACACAAAAAAGGGGCAGAGGATTGAAATGCCTTCCTGTGTTTATGCAAAAGCGTTTCTGGGAGGATATCTAGAACCTGTGGCGAGCCCCTGGGTGGCCAGGTTAGAGGGGCAGGTTAGGCGAGGCAGCCTGAGCTAGGGGCAAGGCAGGAAGCTCTGGTCCTGAATCCAGGAGAACGGTGACCCTGGCTTGGGGCGAGCCGCGGTGCCCTCCCAAGCTGGTACCCGAGGCTTGGGAACACGCAGGTCTTCCAGGAGAGCAGGACGGGAGATACAGGCCAGCCAGGATGCTGGGAGGAGGGCGGCGCCCAGGCCGGCCACCAGGGGGCAGCCAAGCCCGCTCCTGAGAGCGCCGGGCAGGCCCCGCCCCCAAGCCCGCCCCCGACCCCCGCCGCAGTCACGTGGACCCGGCGCGGCGCCCCCGTGCCACGGTGGGTGGGCGCCTCCTGGGCACGGTGCCCCCCGTTTGCCGACATTCATCTCTCGCCCAAGCGATTGGGCCCTTCATCCCGCCTTGCCCATGTCACGACACACGGGCCCTGTTCTCGCCCCCGTTTCACGGAGGACAAAGCCCAGGGGCGTGGGGGTCGTCAGAACCGGCACTCCTTGCGCCTGTCCCCGCCACGCCGATTCTGGCGTCCTCGCTGGTCTCCAGGTTTCCACTTCCAGAACCTTCTCCACACAGCAGCCAGAGGGTAACAGGGGGACTCTGAGCTTAGGACAAACCAGATTCTGCCCTTCTGCCTTTGCTGCCTTTCACCAGAATCCTGCTTCTTGCCTCCCTCCTTTCTTTTTTTCTTGGCTTTTTGGGTCACACCTGGCGATGCTCAGGGGTTACTCCTGGTGGTGCTCAGGGGGACCATATGGGATGCTGGGAATCGAGCTCCGGTTGGACGCGTGCAAGGCAAACACCCTATCCGCTGTGCTATCACTCCAGCCCCTGCCTCCCTCTTTTCTTTTTGGGTCACAACCCAGCCATGCTTAGGGGTTACTCCTGGTGGTGCTTTGGGGGACCATATTGGATGCTGGGGACTGAACGCAGGTTTGTCATGTGCAAGGCAAATGCCCACCTGCCTACTATCTCTCCACCCCTCCTCTCCTCTCAATTCTTACCCACTCTTGTTTGGGGGCAACACCCTGCAGTGCTCAGGGACTATTCCTGGTTCAGTGCTCAGGAGTCATCCTTGGAAGTGCACGGGGCACTGACCATATGCAGTGCCAGGAATCAGACTGAGGTCAGCCATGTGACAGGAAAGGGCCCTCGCTCCTTGCTCTCCCCCATCCCACACAGGCTCAGGTTCCGAATGAAATGCTCTTGGAACACTCATCGTGGGCCTCTTGGTCTGCACTCGCCTCACAAGCATGCTTCGCTTCTGTGATTCTAATGGTTCCGATTCCAAAAACTCAAACCACCTTTGGTGGATATCCTGTCTACAGCTATTGCTGTTCTTGTTCTTTGGGGTGTGGGGGAGTGGCCCTAAGCAGTGCTGAGGGAGTTCAGCCACCCCTGAAGATACCTGACCCGGTTTCCATGCTCACCCGCTGGCCTCTAAGCTCCATCAGCATGTCCCGTGGGATCTCTAAAATGTCATCTTGGGGAGCTGGAGCCATAGTCCAGCAAGGAGGGTGCTTGCCTTGCTAACCCGGGTTTAATCCCTGGCACTCTGTATGATTCCACGAGCCAGTCAAGAGTGATCCCTGAGCTCAGATCCAGGAGTAAGCCCTGAGCATCACCAGGTGTGGCTCCCCTCCATTAAAAAAAAAAAAAGTCATCTTGGCCGGAAAAATAGCTTCAAGGCTGGAGCACTTGCTTTGCATGCAAGAGCCCAGGTTTGATCCCTGGCACCCCAAGTCTCCTGAGCACTACCAGGAGCAACCGCCAAGCACTGAGCTGGGAGTAGCCAGAGTACCACTAGCCATGGTCTCAAACCCTGACATAAAATATGTCATTTCCAGTCCGCTCTTCCCCCATACATATTTTTTTGTGTGTGTTTGTTTTTTGGGCCACACCTTGCAATGCTCCGGGGGTTACTTCTGGCTCTGCACTATTACTCGTGGTAGTGCTCGAGGGACCCTGTCGGGTGCGGGGGATCAAACTTGGTTTGGCCATGTGCAAGGCAAATGCCCTCCCCGCTGTGCTGTGGCTCCTTTCCCTCCTTCCCGCTAGATGTTGGCTTTCTTGCTATACTGCATCCTGTGTCTGCCTCTGCCCTACGATAGCCGAAGTCACCCTGACCCTGCTGCTTCTGTGCTGAAATGGAAGTGTGGGAAGGTTTGGGCTCTGCTTGCTGCAGATGCCCGCTGCCTACTGAGTCCTTGCCGAGGGGGCTCAGGAAGCCCGTGTTGCATGGCCATTTCACCATTTCTCCTCCAGTTGTCAGCTCCTCTGGGCAGGAACTGGCTCTGCCCAGGGTGGAGAGCTTCAGGCTGAGAGGGAGGAAGGGACTTGTCCAAGGCCCACCCCCATGGCAGCAAGGCCAGCGCCAGCCCCAGTGCCCTGCGGCCCTCCTTTCCCCGGCCCACACAAGAGCACCCAGGCCCTATTCACTGAGTCAACACAGTTTATTACTGAACTGCACTTTCACCTTCACACAGACTATTTCAAAGAGCTGGAACAAGTGAGGGGCGGGGGCGGGGGAGAGGCAGGGGCCCCTCAGGAGCCAGGACCCCCGGGCAGGGCAGGGCAGGGCAGGGAGCGTCAGGCCGTTCGGTCTCCGGGCACCAGCTCTCCACGTGCACACGCACAGCAAGCCAGCAGCTCCTCACACATAAATACAGACACGCTTAACAAAAATAGTATATCATCTTCACAAGGAATAAAAACTAGTCTCGAATATGTACAGCAGAGAGCCCGGGGTGGCCAGGGCTGGGCCGGGACCCCCAGGGTGACAGGCCATGAGCGGAGCAGAGGAGGGAGGGAGGCCTGCGGGCTCCTGGCCGGGGCACCCTCCCCTTGGCAGCCCGGCTGCGCAGGCGGGCCGGGTCGGGCCCTCTGCTGGGCCGCCTTCCCGCTCTGCACCGGGCTCCTTCCTGCCCTTCCTGCCTGAGGTAGGGAAGACCCGACAGCTCCCCTTCACCTCTGCCAAGGCCCCTGAACAACCCCTGGACCAGAGGGGCGACCGCCTGGGGCGAAGGTGCCGCAGGCTGATCTTACAGAAGGCGAGGCAGCTGAAGCCATCGACAGCTCTGGGGTGCCGTCCCGGGCCCCCCGTTGGTCCCTCAATCACGGTCATGGGAGCCGGGAGGGGAAGGGGACCGGGGTGGTGCTGCCAGCAAGGCCCACCCTAGCTTTGGCATGGGGTGTTTCCTGCAGCTCGAGCCCCTCCCTCCCCGCTGGGGGACGCTGGGCCTGGGGGGTGGGGGTCAGGGGGGGACTCTGGCCAGGCCAGAGGTGGGGAGAGGGTCCTGGTCCTTGCTTCCTTATCTCAAGCAGCCTGAATTCCTAAACTAGTCAGAAGTGGCCCCTCCAAAGCTCTTGGGAAGCGGGGATGAAAGAAGGGGAGTCTGGGTCCTGGGAGGGAGGGGGGCGGGGTCAGGGGGTGATCAATTCTGAGGCCACAAACATCAAAACGAAGGCAATCTAGTCTCTTTCTGGGGAAAAGGGTCAGAAAACTCTCCAGCTCCCTGGCAGGAAAGCATTCCTGGGGAAGCTAAGGGATAAGGGGGTTCCACCACTCAGGGAGGGCCCTCCAGCGCCCCCGGTCACACCCCCCACCTGCCAGCTCCCATGGGGCAGATTTTGGGGAAACCTTGTGGATCTGAGGCCAGGAGAACTGCACTGTGGGGGAAGGCGGCGCTCACAGAAGCAGCACGGTGAATCCTAGAAAACTAACTGCGGGGCCAGTGGAGGCCCAACCCGGGGCGGGCGGTGTGGGTGGCATGGAGTAGTTAGTTCTCCTGGTGGCGATGGTGGCCGGACAGAGGGGTGTGATGAGGAGTGGAGCGGGGTGTGAGGGCGAGGGGGTGGTCAGTGTCTGGTCATTTCCGGCTGAAGAGCGAGCCCAGCAGAACCACGCCAGCCACAGTCACGCCCGTCAGGATCCAGCGGTTGATGCGTTCCTGGCCCTTTCGGCTCTCGGCCGCCGCGTTGTTCCCGTAGAGTTCCACAAAGGTGTCCTGCGGGCGGGAGGGAGGAGAGGTGCTGGTAAGAGCTGGGCACAGTAGGCACGCGCGGGGAACTCAGACCTAGCACGGGACCCACTTTGGGCCGGACAAAGGGATGGGTAAGTGGGGAATCCGCCCCACTCGGCAGAGAGGGGAGCCTGGCACAGCCGAGAAAATGCTAACGGGAAGGAGCCTGCCCCCAGGCTGGAGTGAAGGAGGGGAGAAGAGAAGGCAGGTGGCTGGTGGCTGGGCAGAGCTGGAAAGGAGGTGATGGGGCGGTGACAGTGCAGGGCCAGTGGGAGCCCTGGAGGGGCTTCCGGTTGCGGTGAGGCGCAGCACTCAGCCAGGAGGCGGCCCAGCCCCTCCATGGGGAACTTCCAAAGGGGACTCGCTCGGCCAGAGGGTCTAGCCTTGACGGAGCGAGAGTACAGTGGGCAGGGCACCAGCCTAGCAGGTGGCTGACCCGAGTTCAATCCGTGGCATCCCAAATGGTCCCCCTGCGCAACGCCAGGAGTGATTCCTGAGAGCAGAGTCTAGTGAATTGCTGCGTGTGACACTCCTTCTCCCTCCGCCAACAGCGCCCCACCCCCCCAACACCAAAATCCCAACCAACCAGAGGCTTTTGTTCCCTCCAGGGGCACATCCAGCCAGGCGGGTTGCTGCATGGCAGAGCAGGGGGGCCAGCTCTGGAAGCAGGCACGTGCATGTCTCTGTGTGTCCCTGTCCGCAGGGCTGTGTGTCCCCCCCCCTCCCCCCGCCACGAGGCTCAGTCCAGTGGGAGGGAAGCAGCCGCCAGTCAGGAGGGAGGCACGTGATGCGGGGAGGAGATTTGGGCCCAATCAGCAGGGCCCAGGGCGCTGGGCTCAGACTAGCCTGTGGGGCAGGGAGAGGGAGCTGGCAGTCCCCTTTAATGAGGAAGCTCCGAACCCCAACTGTCCTCTAATCCTCTCAACAATGCTGCAATTCAGGATGTCTTTCCCCTCTTACAGACCAGGAAGCTGGGGGGGGGGGGGCCTCAGCGGGAGGCCAGAGAGGGGGGCCTGACCAGGTCACCTGTCTTTGTCAGGGGTGGTGACAGATGGGGCCAGACACCCAGAGATGAGTGCGTGCCCCGAGGGAAGGGATCGCTGGCTGGCTCTGGGGCCCGAGTCCGATACCTCTCTACCCTGAGGGCCGGCATTTTCTGTGCATAGGGCCCACCATCATCATCGACCCCCGGACTCACCTGAGAAGCCCAAAGGACTGATGAATACCCGCCTGACCGCCCCCCTCCTCGCACTCCCCCCACACACACTGGTTCTCCGCCCCTGGAGACCAGGTCCCAGCACAGGCGAGCTTCAGCTCCTGCCCAAGGCCTGCTCCTATGGTGTCGCCCCTGAACCCCCCAACCCGGGACCCGGCAGCTTGCCTGGAGATTCCCCGGTTTTTCAGAAGCAGGGGGCGAGGTGGCCACCGCATCACTCCCGACTCGCCCCCGCCCCAGGACCCCCCCCCCCCCCCCCCCGCCCTGCACCTGCAACACTCCACACTCCCTCTGCCAGGGCTCCCTGGAGCCGCAGTCTCCAACAGCTCCAACAGCTGGAGTTCAGGGAGGAGGTCACCGCTCTCACTGTCTGCCGCCCTCCTTTTCTCCCGGGGACTGCTCAGACGCCAGCCCTGTGGACGCCCTCCCTGGCCACCTTGTCTGAAAGGGGACCCAGGCGCAAGAGTATTTTTTTTCTCTTTTCCCTTTTAGTCTTGTCTTCAGGGGAGGGCCACACCCCACACACTATAGTACTCAGGGCTCACTCCTGGCTTTGCACTCAGGGATCATTCCTGGCAGTGCTCGGGGGACCATAGATGGTGCCAGGGATGGGGGGTGGGGGGGGGAGTCAGCCACCTGCAAAGCAAGCATCTTACTATACTATTGCTTTGCTCCAGCCCCCAGAAGCTATGCCTCTTCTGGGCTTCTGGGTCACACCTGGCAATGCTCAGGGGTTGCTCCTGGCTCTGCGCTCAGGAATTACTCCTGGTGGTGCTCAGGGGGACCATGTGGGATGCCAGGGATGTAACCCTGGTTGACCTCATGCAAGGCAAATGCACTAAACACTGATATCATTCCGGCCCCAAGACGTGACACTCTGACTTGCCTACTGCACTGGCAGGGCCTGATGAGAGGTCAGATCCCATTTCGTTTCACTGCAAGCAGGGCCTAGAGCAGCTGTTGTTGTGGAAGTGGGACCACACGCTCCTGAGGGCCAGGCACTGCGGTTCTAGTTCGCGTTCAGCAGAATCCCCAGAGAGCCACAAATTTCCCATTTTCATAGAGACAACCAAGGTTCAGAGTAAGGATGCTTGCCTGAGGTCACCCGGCTAACAGGCGGCAGAGCCAGCACAGGAACCCAGGAAGCCTGCCTGGCGGCGGGCACAGGCTCCTCTCGTGAGAAAGGACTGTGAGGGTGAGTCCAGGGGGTGCAGGGCCGGGCTGTGCTTCCCCGCCACCCCTGCGGTGGTGGGGGCGGTGTCCAGGGCCATGGGGACAGGAGGCGGCCAACATCCTCCACCCTGGCTGGCCCCTGCAGGTGACGGCAGGCAAGCAGATTCCTACACCAGTTTTGACTTCTCTGGTCCCAGATGATGAGAAAGGCGCAGGAAGTCACGGAAAAGCTTGATCTGTGACAATGACAGGGAAGAGACCTGGGCCACGGGAGCATGAGAGAAACGAGGCCGTGGCCGAAGGTCCTGCGATCCCAAGGGGCTAAAAGTCCCACAAGAAACCAGGGACACTGGGGCTGCAGCCAAAGCGCGAGGCCTGGCTCCCTCTCTGGGAACTTCCCGCAGCCCAGGGCTGGCAGGCACGGAGGCTGTGGGCTCGGGGGCCGGCCGGAGTAAACAGGCTGTCCCCGCACGGGCACAAAGCACTCACTGTCCAGGAACGGCCATTCCAGGGTGGAGCGAGCATTTTCACGTCAGCACCACAGGGAACAGGCCGCCCAGCCCCCACGCCCGCATTCCTGGCCCGGAAGGCTCCCGCGGCAGGCAGAGTGGGAGTCCCAGAGGGCCTCGGATTGTGGGGATTGCTTTTGCAGAGAGCAAAATGGGGCGTGCTGTTCCCGGGCGGGTGCCGGGGAGGCAGCGGTGTGGGCACATTTAGCCCACGGTTCACACGACACACTTGGAAACAAACACAGCCATTTTCTCAGCGGGCGACTGCTCTGGATAAATAAACAGGGCTGCACAGCGCTGGCCTGGAGAAGCCGAGATAAGCCCCCCGCCCGCTTCCTGGTGGCTCTGGCCGGAGTGGGGACAGTGGGCTCCGGTAAGCTAGGCAGGCGACTGTCTCTCCAGCAGGCTTGGGGGGGGGGGCTGGGGGGGAGAGAGGGCAGTGTTCAGGGCCATGGGGGACAGGAGGCAGCTAACATCCTCCACAGAAGGCAGATGCCCCAGTCAGCCAGGCCAACCTCCTCAGCTTCCTGCCGTTTCCAGCAGCCAGGGAGTCCAGGTTAGGAAACAGGGGGTCTCTGCCTTGCTGGTGGAGCCCTTTGTGGGGGGAGATGGCTCACGAGGCAGGCCCAAGGTGTGTCTGCAGGAGAGAGGCCCAGGCTCCAGCTCCACCCCTGCATGGTCTCCTGAGCATCACAGCGGGCGATCCCCAAGCACCCCTGGGAGTCACCCCTCAAGTACCAGTGGGTGTGGCCAAAAGTCAAAATAGAATGTGGGTCCCCGGGAGATGCCAAGGCTGTGAGCATTTTCCAATTCCTCCTTCTACCAGGCAGCTGTGGGTGGGTGGCGCTGTGCCACACGCTCTGGGCCCGTGCCCTGCCCACCAGGTCCCCTCCTGGTCATCTTCCCTGCACCCATCTCCCTCTGCTAACCGCCCCGGCTCAGCTTACAAGACTCCACCGTGTCTTCCCAGGGGGGTTCCTGCTTCCCCGTCCTTCCACTCAGATGTGTGTCCCTGCAGTGACCCCAGGGTCCCGTGCGCACCGTCAGTCTGTCCTGAGCCCCCGCCCCCCTCCCCGGCGGGCACTGCAGCCCCAGCCACGAGCGAGGCCCCGTGACAGGGCGTTTGCACTGGTGCCGCTCCCGCCCGAGCCTGGCTTGCTCGATGAGGCTGATGTCACCCCAACAGGTGATGCAAAAAACTCTGGGCTATTACACTGCGTGGCTCTCCAAGGGTCACACGCGTCAAGCTGCGACACCGACAGCGATGGTCTTCAAGTGCCCTGGGAGGCAATTAGGGCAAAAAGGGCCGCAAGACTCATTGGGAGTAGGGGGTATGGGGAAACGGGTTCTGTTCAGGAAGAGCAGATATACACAGGCACGCTGAGAGGTGTTGCGGCTGGGAGACGGCTCCTGGGGAGGGAAGGGGGGCGCAGAGTGTATCTGGTCGCCGCACAGCACACCTGTCTGGGAGGGCCTCTGAGAAAGGGAGGTTCCACATGGGGTCTCCCCCGCCCAGGGGGTATTGGGGATGGGGTGCCATGCACGCACGCCAACCCTTTCTGCCCCCAGCCCAAGGGGGGGGGTTTGATGAGAGTTGAATGACATGGTAATAGGCTCACGGAAGAGAAAAAAATAAATCTGGGGCCCACAGGAGAATGTTCCCACAGAGCAAAGGTGCAGAGGAGCTGAGGGACTCCCTCAGGGGGGCAAGAAGAAATGGCGCTCTACCACCCCCCCACCCCCCCCCCCCGCTGGTGTACCCTGTCAGGGATCAAGTCAGGGAGCTAGAGCTCTTTCCAGATCTTTCCTCAGCCGACCGTCTCCAGCTCGCTCTCTGCCTAAAGGCTGTTCCCCGGCACAGTGTTGGACAAGCCAGGGGACAGGCTGGCATGGACAATGGCCGAGGGCAGCAGCCCAAGTGCCAAGGACACCCTGCTTGGCCACAGGCTGCTGGCCCCGCTCGAGTCGGCCCAGTCCTCAGTTCCCACCCGTCTCGCTCCAGGCTTTCTCCTCACGGCGCGACACCGGTCACTCCATCTCCCTGGCACGGTATTAAGAATCGCTCTGGTGGCAGTGGGCTCCAGCGA